ATCCCTCAAGGCAGGGACCTGACAAACGGGAGCCCTCAGCCCTGCCTCGGCCGGTCCGGGCAAGAGCTCGGGAGGGGAGAGGTCTGGGGGAGGTAGAATCATTCCCAAGCCTACGCTTTTCTTTCCAATTTTTGATGTAGGCTGACTCCAGGGGAAGCAATGGAGTCTGTGACAGGACTGGGCGCCTCTACCTGTATCACTACAACGAGGAGCAGCCTTACATCCCGCTGACCGAAATCCAGAGGATTGACACTGCAGCCATCCTGGACATCAAATGGTAATCCAACCGTATCCTGGGCTGTATCCAGAGCAGTGTGGCCAGCAGGTCGAGGGAGGGGATTCTGCCCCTGTACTCTGCTCTGGTGAGACCCCACCTGGAGTGCTGCGTCCAGCTGTGGAGCCCTCAACATCAGAAGGATATTGACCACTTGGAGCGAGTCCAGAGGAGGCCATGAAGATGCTCAGAGGGCTGGAGCAGCTCTGCTATGATGAAAGGCTGCGAGAACTGGGCTTGTTCAGCCTGGAGAAGAGGAGGCTCCGAGGAGACCTCACTGCAGCTTTCCAGTATCTGAAGGGGCTACAAGGGGGCTGGGAGAGGACTTTTTACAAGAGCCTGTAGTGACAGGACAAGGGGTAATGGGTATAAATTGAAAGTGGGGAGGTTTAGATTAGATATCAGGAAGAAATTCTTCACAGAGAGGGTGGTGAGGCACTGGGACAGGTTGCCCAGAGAAGCTGTGGATGCCCCATCCCTGGAAGTGTCCAAGGCCAGGCTGGATGAGGCTTTGAGCAACCTGGTCTAGTGGAAGGTGTCCCTGCCCATGGCAGGGGGGTTGGAACTAGATGATCTTTAAGGTCCCTTCCAACCCAAACCATTCTATGATTCTATGCTGGCCAACCAAGGCCTGGAGCTCACAGCAGCGTGGTCTGCCCCTCTGGGGTCCTGTTTTGGCTCTTGGTGTGGCAGCCAGAGTTATGTTTGCTGTTGCACTTCCTCCAGATGTTAGTGTTTCCAGAGCAGGGGTAACAAAGGAACTAGAACACATAGGGTGGCCACTGTAACAGAGTGGCTGACTAAAGTTCTCCGGTTTGTTCCAGCAAGCAAAGGCTGTGCTCATTTCTGTTACGCTCTTCTGCTTAGTTAGGAACAGCTGGACAGTGACTGTGGACCTCTTTTGTTTATATTTTAATATATAGTAGATCTCCCTATATATAATCCTCTCCGTTCAGGTTTGGGGGAACTTGAGGAGCATTAGGTTTTTTTCATTAAATTATTGTGGTACTTTATCCTTGTGCGTCATGGAATAAAAGTTATGACTTTGCTCTTCTCCTTAAGTACTAGAACGATGGACATTCAAGACTTGTTTAACTGTTGACCTTTTAGGTGCCACGTTCCCATTGCAGAACATCCCATGGCTGGCATTGCAAACTCAACGGGTGCTGTGGAGTTTTTCCACCTGACGGGAAGTGAGGTAGGTGGCTGTAACACCTGCTGCTGTTGAAGCTGTGTTTCACGTGGATTTAATACATCTCTGGATTTATTGGCAGTGTTCAAAGACGTGTAGGAAAGCTGTATGGTTTCCATGGCTTTCTCAGCGTGCTTAGCTTTTTAAACAGTTTCTTTTGCCCTCTGATAACGTTTCTCATAAATGCCACAAATCTCACCAGCGAGACTGGCTGGGTGCTACCCCCCTGCAGGGTTTAGGAGACAAATGGCATGAGGGGAGCAGAAGCAAACCCTGGAAACTGTCACTTGAGAATAAGTATGGAGTAACTGGTAAACACAGAAGAAGATGCAAAGTTATTAAATACAGGGGAGAATTTTGGGGAGGGGTTTCTTTTGATTGGTGAGAGAATGGAGCAATCAAGAGAGATGTTCCCACAGAGTGAAGAAAGCAGAAGCCAGTCTGTGAGAGAATTCAGCAGGCAGGTCATCACTTCTCCTGCACTTCATCCATCACTGAGGGGAAGCAAAGTTTAAGGGGGATTTGGGAAGATGGGAAGCAAAAGGGTGGGGATCCTGGTATGCATAGATCTGCCCTTCAGCTAGTACTAAGCAATTGCTGTGGGATGTTTCACCTCTTTAGCGTGGGATCCTAATATGCTCATCAGTCCCTGGAAAACACTAGAGCAGTAAGCAATACACATTATATACCTGCTGTCTTCCCAGCCTTAACCCATTCCTTTTCTTTCCAGTAGAAGAACAGCTGCATGTTGGAGCCATGCTTCAGGGTTGATCTTGGTGCACAGCGTCTGGCCTTGTCTTTAGACTGGTCCACAGGACGAGAGCAGTGGTGAGGAGGGGAGATGCAGGCTGGCATTGGAGGTTGTGTATGTGGTGGTTTTCATATGTCAGTTGAGGATTTGGTGGATGAACCTTTGGTGGCTTTTTGTGAAGTGGTTTTTCTTGGTCCTAGCTGTCTCCCTGCACCTTCTTTAGAAGTTTCCAGAGCAAGGGTAACAAAGGAACAAGAACGTGTACTTTGGCCATTGTAAAAGAAACTAAACCAACAGCTGTGAGGTAACGTGGTGGTTCTGCTGCCTTTGCTAAAAGGAGGGACCAGAATGCGATGCAGATGGATCCACTGGCTCCAAATCTGCTCTCAGAACAGCTGAGATTTTAGTGTGAAGTTCTGCTCAAGAACTGCTAATAATAGCACATATAGGAAGTTTAAACATGGTTTAGTGAGAAACAGGAGAGAATTGGTTTGGAAGTGGCTCCTTCCTCTTGCAAATGCTCATACATTTGATTTCAGAAGTGGCATCACTGCATGAAATAACATGAATGAGCTGTACCTTGAAAAGGGGTGGGGTATATGCTTTCTGTAGGTTAAGGGTAAAAGAGAGTGGTGCCTTTGGCGTGAGGCTGGAAAGTGAGAGGATCAGGCAGTTGTGTGCTTAGTGCTGTAGAGCAAATATTTAGTACATTTGCTAATTAAAACTGTTTCTGTGCCTACTGTTTAATTAATAAGTAGAATTCCCAGTTATACTTTCTTCTTCCTTACATTCCTTCTTCCCCTCCTCTCTGCCCTTCAAGTAAATGATCATTTCCATGATGAAAAGTCCCTTCAAAGCCTGTCACTGTTGTCACTCGAGAGACAACCCCTTCTAGAAGCTGAATGTGCAGCCCTCACAGCTCTGTAGGAGGGGGTGACCCCTTATCACTTGAGTGTAGAGATGGAAAGAAACCCTGAGCCACCAAATCAGTATTTCCAGTTGCAGGTAACAAAAGAGGAGGGACCTAGTTCATGTCAGGGAATGTCAGAAAATCTGTGCACTGTGAGCTGCAAAACTTCTGCCAGTGCTCCAAGAACATCGTGTCCAGAAACTGCAACTGTACTGTGTCACAGGAAGAGAGCAGGAAGTGTCAGGACCAGCCAGCACTTTAGAGGTCTCTGATGGCAGGGAAATCAAACATTTCTTCATGTTCCAGGGGAGGGGAGAGGCTCTGAGAGGTCCTTGTCAGTCTGACTTGGAGAAAAAATAAAAAAAATCCCTCCTCACATGGAGTTGGTTTACTGATGTAACACCAAGCATGTGAGAAGTGAAGTTACGCACCTGGAAGAAAGACTGACCCAGGGCTGGTTTTCTTTACCTCACATGAATGAGTGGTTTGTTCCCCTTGTGAGGGGATCGTTGATGTAGATCATTTTAAGATGGCATGGGCTGCAGCTGGAAAGAACTGTATAAATGCATGCATTCCTTCCACTGTGCCACCGGTTTCTGTCAGTGTTTAGCTGAATCAAACACATAGCATTTGTTAGTTTATCTGTCTGTACTTTGGCAGGACACAGGATTCGGTAATTTCTAATGTTTTCTCTGTATTCCACTGTAGTGGGTGTCCTTTGAGAGTGATCAGCAGTGACTCAGAGGGGAAGCTGAATCTTTTCTCCATAGATGAATCTGCTCCTTCTGTGCATGTCCTGAACCAGTGGGAAGCTCACAAATTTGAGGCCTGGATTGCTGCTTTTAATTACTGGGACACCGATATCGTGTATTCAGGTCTGTAAGGGCTGGGAATCTCATTTGGGGGTGACAAGGAGGGGCCACCTTGTTTAGGGATGTGTGTTCCTTGGGATTTTACTTTCCAGGGTTGGGTATGCTGCTTGCATCATGCCCTCCTGTAAGAGCTGGGGCCTCTGCTAGGGGTAAAAGGCCTCCTGGTTGTGGGAAGTGGTTGGAGTTAGTTAGGAGGAGCTGTGCCTTTTAAACTCTGCTTTGGCTGGCTGTTGGCAAAAGAGATGCTAATCCCTTGCGATGTGCAAAAGGGAGCCAGAGAGCTTTCAGAATCCAGTCTTTTTATCTCCTAATTTTTTGTGTTGTTTAGCAAAGTGAGGGTATTGTTAATGCGTGTCTCTGCTGTGGTGACGAGTGCCGAGAGCCTCAGATGATGTTTGGCACGTCCGTTAAATGCTCTGCGATCCTAGGGCTGAAAAGCTTCCGCTCGGTCTTAACTGCTTTGCGTCAGTGCCGGGCGCTGATCGTTTGGATGGTGTTCGGGGTGACAGTGTCCTGTCTTTCTGCAGGAGGAGATGACAGCCTGCTAAAGGGCTGGGACACCAGGTGCAGTCCAGAGACTCCGGTCTTCACCAGCCGGAGGTAAGCGAGCCGTGTCTCCAGCTGGGGTGTAGGACCTTACGGTGCTGCCGTGTCCCTTCCCAAGCCATGGAATTCAGACATGCATGACAGTAGAGTCCTGTTTCTGCTTCCTGTGGGAAATGGAGAAATCTATTAGGTCTTTTCATCAGGACAACTTCAGGTTGAACCTTTGTGTCCTTCAACATGATAAACCAACTGCTCCCATCCACACGTGAAGGTGGTGGTGGCTTCTTTCTCAAAGAAGGGTCCGGATTTACACTTCTATTTCGGGAATTTGTGTGTGGGCTAGATTTGGGTATCTTATTATGGAATGTTTTTTAGAAAATATTTTAGTCTCCACTGCTCACTCATTTGAAGTAATCTTTTTTTTCTGGTGGCATAACGTAACTTTTAGAACATGACTAAAACAATATACACAGCTCTCCAGGGAAATTTTATGTGTAACCCTAAAACACCCTGGGCATTATTGCCATGCAGATACTTACTTTGGGAGTCAATTCTTGTGGGAATGGAGTAGTTGTGCTGAAATTCTTAGGGGCTGTGAACAGCAGTTTATGGTACAACCATTACTGGAAAATATTTGTGCTGAGAGACTCTGAGTAGCAGTTTTGCCCTGGAAAGGTTGTTGGACTCTGTAGATGGAACTCTGCTGTTTCATTGGACTCAGTGAGTTCACCTTGCTCTCCTTTCCTGAGACACCTTAATGCAGTAACATGGGCCCCAAATCCTTGAAATTCAAGGAGGACTCCTTTCTCAAATCGTACGTTGCTGTCTCTTCCCTCTGCTGTATGTTCCTCTTTTGCAGACACTCGATGGGTGTGTGCAGCATTCAGTGCAGTCCCCACCGGCAGAACCTTCTGGCTACTGGCAGGTAAATCCCTTCCAGCTGCTCTTCACTGATGTGACCAGCCTCCTCTGTTATTCTGAATGTGCTCCTGCGTGATCCCTTCCGAAATTCAGCGTGGTGATCCTTCCATGCTGCACTGAATCAGCTTTGCTGCCCATCCCTGTATTTATTTGTGATGTCTCTCCAGCTATGATGAGCACGTGCTGCTGTGGGACACCAGGAACATGAAGCAGCCGCTAGCAGACACCCACGTTGAAGGTGGAGTGTGGAGGTTGAAGTGGCACCCAACCTGTGACTTTGTGCTGCTCGCAGCCTGCATGCAGAGCGGATTCAAAATCCTCGACTGCCGCGGAAGCATGGGTGAGTGTTCAGTGGAGCAGGGACACCCTAGCACTGCTCTGCTGCTCTCTGGGGGGACTCCAACTCTGCCATAGACTTCTATTCCAACTTGAGGTAACTCTTCCAGCTTTCCCAGAACTATCCCCACTGTTAGCCTGAAGGTTGTGCAAAGGCACCGTCATTATTCACGTGTCAATCTCTCCTGACTTCTTTTCCTGGGAAACTTTGGGGTGAAGGCATTACCTGCTGACATGGCCGTTCCGGGTTGTACTCATCTTGATGGTTCAAAGAGGTTCTTCTGAATGCCAGGTGGTGCCTTACTGTCAGCAGAAGTTACCGATCTGCTGGTGACCTGGCTGTTGCCTCAGGAGGTGCCATGCCGTCTGGTTAAGCCAGAATAACATGAGTAAGCCCTCCGTGTGAATCAGAAGGCATTTACATGATTAAAAGCTATTTGCATTTACATTACAAATAGTCTCACATGAAAAGGGTGCTTTCCTGGGTTTCTGCAGGCCTTGGGCAGATCCATGGCTTGCGAAATGAGGGTAACATTTCTGTACAGGGAGGGGAGGAACTTTCTGTCCACCTCCTGTGGGAAGAACACATCTGCCGTTTGTTAACAAGCAGAACCTGGCCTGGCAATCTCACCCGTTTGGCTCCGTGAAGGTCACGGTGTCACATCTTGTCTTTCTTGAGCCTTTTTAGGTATTTCGAATAACCAGGCTCTTAAGCCTCATGCCCATTAATCCCTCTCTCCTGTCTGCTTACTGAACCCTGGAAAATCAAGGCTGAGAGGTGGCTAAAAAATTGTCAGGAGAGGCAGTACCTCAGTTCTCCTGGAACACTAACCTCTCTGAAGGGGGCAAACCCAGAGAACTCCTCCTGTAAGGCACAGCCAGCACTAGAGTGGCTCCTGAGCACCGCCACAAACTGTTTCACAGCTTGATTTCTGCTCATTTAATTTTATTTCTTTTTTAAAGCGGAAAACATGGAGGAATGTGTCATCCTGTCCTCGTACGTCTTGCACAATTCCTTGGCCTACGGGGCTGACTGGTCAAGGCTGTGTCCGAGGGATTCCTTGACTGTGCAGGACTCTGCTGCTGCGTGCCAGTCTTTGGAGGAGCTCATGGGAAGATCAGAGGAAGGAGACGAGGGACTGAATTTGCAGGTCCAAAACCTGAAGATAATTTACGAGTCTCCTACAGCTACTTTTGATGTAATATTGGATGAGAGCGAAGGCCCTGCCTTGCCGCTCAAAGCACAGGGGGGCTCTAAGCTGTCTGGGGAGCCTGACCTGGTCAGGGGCCCTGATTTGAAGGGCAGTTCAGGTTTGGCTGGGGGTCCTGACCTAGGAGGAGATCCCATGTCAGCCAGCAGTTCTGACTCGGGAGCCAAGAGACCCAACGGAATGGGCCTCATCAGAAGAGGGGATTCAGCCAGGTCTCTGGACAGCCCGAAAGAAACAAGCATTGTAGCAACTTGTTCTTTCTATGATAATATCCTCCATGTCTGGAAGTGGGAGATGAGCCTGGTGAGCCCTTCCGAGGCACCGAGGTCCGGATCTCCCTCGGAAAGAACAGTTGCAACTTTGCATTGACCAGTCCCAAGGGAGGGGTAGGAAAACTCCTGTACCGAGAGCAACATCTGGGCTTGTGCTCTAATTTCTGTTGGGCCTTTCCAGTTTTATTGTTGAGCTTGTGAGTCTTTGAAGGCCGATACTGATGGAATTACTGGTGTCTCGTTTTCAGCGCTGAGGGAAGCCTTCGCTTTGAGGAGCGTGGTCAAGCACAGACACGTTCATTTAGTTTTCCCTTGACGTACTAGTTCTGAGTAGGAGAGCCTTCTCTCAAAGGCTGCTTGTTTGTACCTTGTGTTGGGATCCCTTCAAGGCTCTGTTGCATTTGTCCGATTGATCTGTTAAGCACGTTCTTCCATCACAAACCAAACTTGTCTGTTTAGCCCGTCCTCCTTCCGTAACAAACCAAACTGCCTGTGCTGCTACATGCAGACAATCCCAGGATCTGGCCAGAGGTTTTCTGAACGTCTCAGCGAAGGCCATGAGCAGAGGCATTGCTGTGTCTGTACCTTGCTGTGAGGTCGGAGAACTGTTATCTGCTTTGAGAGGACGCTCAAAGCCAGTCCAGTTAGCGGCCCTGCAGTGTGCTGTCCCTCTACTGGTGATCTTCGGTAGAGGGAAATTATGTTTTAGAAGGAAATCCTGACTGACCGGTACGACAGACAGCAAGACAGTGACAGGAAGCTTTGTTGGGAGCAGGGCCTTTCTGCGAAGCGTTCTGGGCTGATCTGCAACCATCGCCTGGTTGCAGTCTGACCTCTACACTAAGCACAACCTGGTTTAGCATCAGTTGCGTAGCGAGTCCCGCTATGTTTGGTGCCACAGCCTCTGGGTATCAAACGCCTGTCTGCTCTCCGCAGCGAGACACACATTTAGGTCCAGAGTCAAGATCTTTCAGTTCTTTTAAGGTGAACAGCTTTAAGATCAAAACCTCCAAAAAGTACAAGCAGTGTTTCCTGACATCTTTTCAGTTCAAAATAAAGTAGAGAAACCAAAATCTTAACAACATTGCCCTACCTACCTCCAGGAATGGCTGCGCAGATTCTCATGGTTTCTCCATTAGCTTTCTTTTTTTCACTGTGAAATATCAGCAGAACACTGTTTCTGGAACACTTTCTCTGTTATTTTCCTAGAAACAAAAAACCAGCTTAAACTTGGTAAGGTAACTTCTAGCTCGCACGGTTTCTCTTTGAGGGTTTGAATGAGTTGTCTGGAGGGCAAGAAACACCAGCAACAGGTATCTTTCTGTCCGTAACAGTGCCGCATCTAAACGAGGTACAGCAGGTAAGAATTTTACTGCTTTGAAACTGCTTTTTGAATGTGTATTTTAGAAAACATTCTTGAGCACTGTTACAAGGATATTAGTATTGTGAACAAGAGCTTTTGTTAAAAAAAACACCCTATTTTTGGATGTTTCTAAAATAAATTAATTATAAGTGATTTAGCTTCCTTAGTCATTTTAATTTTAGGAAGTCCTTCATGGTTCATCCTTGAGGACGTTCTGCCTTCTCCCGTGACGGCCCAGACTCTTTGAGGGCGTTTGGTGCTGGTGAGTGGGAGTCAGAGCTGACAATCCGGTTTCCTGATGCCTCAGAACACGGAGGGTGTATCCCTGTAGCAACATGGCTTTGACTGTGACTGGGTCTTAAAAGCTTGTAATGCCTTTTTATTGCCCTGTGAGATTAAGAGGGCACAGCCCGAGGTCACAGAGCTGGAGCGGGGTCACAGAACGTGACCAGACTGGGGCACTCGGTTCCTGCTTTGGTCTCCTGTTACCATCTGCCTTCACATAGGGAGGGTAAAGCAAGCGGCTTGTTCAAGACCAAGCTGATAACAGCACTGAGGGGTACGGGACCTCCTGCTCCCCAGCCCTGTGTTCAGCTGCCCTCCACCCCCTCCAGCCAACTGCAGATGCTTGCCTGCTCTGGGGAGGGCTGAAGAGCCCAAGAGAGTGACGCCTCTGGAAGGACGGGGCGAGGCACCTCTGCCAACAGCAGCAGCAGCCCGAGCTGAAGGCAGAAACCAACCCCTTTTGTATAACCACTGTTCTGACAGCTGAAGTGAAGACTTACCTTACTAATTAGAATTAATTTCATCAGAAAAACTGCGCCTTCCCCCACTACGGATGCGACTCTTGAACCTTCTGTGCCAAAGCGCGCTAACTAACTACTTGGTTTGCAGTTATGTGGGCCCATGGCAGCCAGCGCAGCATCCCCTGCCTGTGTCACCGCCCCCTCCAGCCCTGGAAACACGTGTTCCTGAACACCCCCTCAAGGGCTCACCCCAGTCATCATTACAGACTGGGGAACACAGTAAATGTGCTTCCTTTCTCCCAGAGGGAACATTTTAATTGCGATTGATTACTGATTGGCTTGGCAGTACTTCGTGTTTGGAGAACCTCGTGCAAACCCCCTCCCCCAAAAGAACTGTCTTGCAGAAGAATCGTTATCTCAGAGACTCCAGCCCTTGTGTGGCAGAGAAAACATGTTCTTTTCAATGACTTAAAACATTTGGGATTTAGCAGTTTCTGCTTTAAACAGTAGCACATGACTGTCCATGGATGTGTCACCTGTACCCATTTAGTCTGATGGATTAGAGATGCTGCTTTTGTAAAAAACTGTTAATTGTTAAACATTTCAAATTTCAACAGTTACCTTGCAACTTCAAGCAGCTGCACTGCTAAGGAACAGACATTAAATGTACCTATGAACTGTATCTTGATTTACTCTAAAAGAAAAACTAGTTCTCAGGCTTGGGAAAGGCTGGAAAAATTGTGTTACTCAATATAAGCTACAGTTCTCTCCTCAGAGAGACAGTTGAGGGTACAGACTTGACTTTGCATGTTGGAGGCCTCACTCCTGGTTTAGAAGAGCACTTCATCTGAGCCATCGCTGCGCTCCCTCTTTGGCTGCAGCTGCCACCAGCGCAGGTGGCATCAGCACTCTGACGGGGCTGCGCTGTTTGGCTTGCAGCGGCCGGCTCTCCCAAGGACATAAGACTCATCCCCTTCTTGTTCCCAGAAGAAAGGAATTCCTTCCCAGAAGGAAAGAATGGTATCGCAGCAGCCTGGAGAGAAGATGCCTTCCGCTAATTACCAGCGCCTAGTCAATCAGCTCATCTGTGAGCAGGACATCTGCACACTTACACAACGGTGGGCGCCGTGCAAGACGCAAGTCACGCTCTCCTCAGTCAGGGATGGGAAGTTAACTGCTCATTTCCCCACAGCCACTGAAATCAGACACTGCAGAAAGACCAAGTCAAAGGATTTGTTTTTAATAGCCAGTAACAGAAACTGTCCCGTATCTGCTGGGGCAGGTTGTGTCTCACGACGGTGATGCTCTTCCCAGCACGCTGGAGCCAGCCCCTGATCCCCGCCGCTTGCTGCCTACCGCACGTAGTTCTTGGGGAAGAGCTGGAAGAGCTTGCCCTCCTGCGTCGGCTCGAAGCCATACTTCTCCAGGTTGTTCGGGTCAAAAGTGCCGTCCTTCATGTCCTTCTCAATGTGGGGAGCCACCACTTCGGTGAAGAGCTGCTTGGCCGTCATAGGTGGCTCGGAGCCCTCGGGGGCGCGGTATGAGACATAGGGCTTGAGCTTGAAGCCCTCCAGGTCGGGGACGATGAACTGGGGCACCATCTCCTTGATGAGGATGAACTTTCTGCTGGAGGTGAGCACGCCCAGCTTCTTGGCCCCTCGGCCCTTGTTGTAGGTCAGGGGGCCGCGCTTGCTGGTGAACGGGGACATGCGGTCGGCGCCCCGCACCAGCCCGCGGGCCAGCTCGGTCAGCAGCCCC